TGAAAAGCTAAATATATTAATTTTAAATTAATTGTGGTGAACATCACAACCTGCATGGCGCCACAACGATTTTAATGGTGGTGGGTACGAGAGATTTGGCACCAGTCGAATATAACTTTCTCATTTGTTCTTACTTTCACCAGATTAAACTTCTTCGGTTAACGAGCCCGGTCGGAATTTTTTTTAAATGCGAACTTCGTATTGCTTAGGGACTTAACCGTCGTACTAATGGTACTGGTTATATATTTCCGGCTTCACACGTAGTCGACATAACTAGCTTACATGATAGACAGGTTTAATCGATTTTGAAGCCCAGGTTTAAAAATTAAACATAGTTCGTTCGTAAGTACAAAAAAATTGCCAAAGAAAAGTAAAAATTTCACCATATCTTCTTCAATATTTTACGATCTCACTCCAGAACAATATGTCAGAGAATGATCTTTTCCAGGTCTTCACCGGTAGGCGAACGCGAGGACTGAGTTCGACAGCAGTTGATTTTTTGAACACATACATCGTTAAGCGTTTATTAAACGATTATTAAAGGTGTCATCTGACCACTTTTTCATCTCCTTCCTATAAGCAAAACAGACAACTTAACTAAAGAGTTCTTATAGCGGGATGAAGATAACTATAGCTTTTCGGGTTTGCGCCTTTGATTAAAATTCTGTTTGCTAAGTTACGGTTTATCGCGAAGTAAAAGAAAACAATTAAAATAAGTATTAAGATTAATAAATATTAGGAAGCAAGCATATATAAAACAAACTAGCCTTTAATTGCTATCACAAAACCAAAAAAGCCAAGTTTTTGCCTCTAAATTTCATGCACAATTACAGTAAAAACACTTAAAGAATACAATACCCAAATCAAGTTGTAACAACTTTCAGAAATGTTACGTGAGTCCATTTTTTGAATGCGTTTTAAAAACGCTCAGACCTATGAGAAAAACCTAATTTCATTACTATGTGCGGGCTTCGCCAAAATCGCTGCAAATATGTCCTCCCCGTATACATAAGACCCTAACTTAATTGTACGGGTAGAGGTAGGACCCCCTTCACTTTTCTCGTAATTTTTTTGCATAATTTTCAGACATTTTAAGGGTCATTTTAATGTGAAAAAAGAGCGAAAAGACTTCATTTTGTCTAAAAAGCCGATTATCTTGACATTTTTTTTTAATAATTTAGCGTCTCGTAGAGTAGTAATCAAATTAGGTTTTTGTGATAGGTTTAAGAGTCATTTATTTAAAACATTAAAAAACTGTACTTGAACAACTTGGGTAAAAGTTTTTATAACGCGCTTTGGATATTGTAAATATTCGCCAATTTTATGCATGTACTATATGGTAAATAATAACAATAATTTTTTTTTAATTCTCCATAACATCAAGAATGATTTCTTTTTTATTTACGCTGACATTTTTATTTCTGTTCAGTTTTTTTCATGATTTCGTTATTCTTTCAATATCGTTCAATAATGAATTTCCTCAGCAGAGGCGCGAAACAAGTGGGAAAATACCCAGTTCTAGCAAAGACAAAAACGTATACCACAAACATAATCAAAGAAAAATAACTAAGTCTTATATTATCATCATAAAACTAAGAGATTATGTTATTTTGCTGTTAACTATCATACAGTATGCGTGTGTAGCTAGTACTACTAAATCTGACGATAGGATTTATGGTCTAGCCCGTGCCCGTTTGTTATGGGTTGCAAAATTGATTTTTGTCTCCAAATTCAATTTAAATTTTTATATGTAGTGCCTTCGGACTCCACTTTCACCGCACACTTACTTTAGTTTCTTTTTTTTTTTGTAGCAAACATGGAATGTTTCATATTAATATGTAATATTTCCACGGATGGTTGGGAAAAATGTGGAACATATTCTTAAATTTTCCATATGCCGCATGCATTTTTTTACACAATTTTTTTTTGCACGGTTTTCTAAGAAACTATGTAAAAGACGAGTTGGGTATATTACTACAAAAATAACCCACAAAAACTGGTTCTGTTTGCTAACGCCGTATAAAAAAATATTACTCCTTAGTTCTTGTAAGACTGGTTGTAAATGAAATTAATTCTTAACACTCTGTCTTTTTATAATCGGAATAAATTTGAGGGTAAACGCCGTGTATATAATGTAAAAGTGAGCTAGCGTTATAGTTCTCACTAGTTTCTATAACAAGCTTTTCGGAAATGTCTACAAAGAAACACATATCATTGTTGAATCCCCCGAAATTAGTTTCTCTCCTCTGTGTTGTAGGGCCGATGTTGTTGGTCGATTATTTGGGACGATTGTAGGGACCAAAACATTGATAATTTTAGTCTTCAATATCTTCAGATGGAGTTTATTTCATTTGTATTATTTATTAGAATGTTTGTGTTGGAATGATTTAGTCGAAAATGTTGTGATCTGCCTAGACTTAGTATCTAAACATTATTTTGAGAAGTCACAATCGTCTCTGACTTTGAACTTTCGTCCTTTCGTTTCTTTTCGTCTAAGAAAGTCATAAACTAAGTCTAAGTGCTTCATAAGCTAGAATTAATTTCGGCATAAGCCGACTCGATGACGGATGATAGACCTACGCGCTTTTTACCTTTCGTGTGATATCAAATGACGTCAGGAGAAATGCGTTCTTGTAAATCGAGTTAACACTAAATCACCGTCATACATTACAAGGTGAAGGAGACCATAATCAAAGGGTCATAAACCGAAAAGTTGCTAAATCGAAATTACAAATGGCAAGGTTTCAAAGATCTATGTCAAGTTTGTAAACCTAAAGTTTGGGGTTGTAAAATCAGAATATAGAATATAAGTTACGACTATTAAAGTTACGCGATTGTATACGAAATTCAAATTCAAAACTACAAAGTCAAACAAAAAGTTGAAAGGTTGAAAAGTAATTACTATGTGAACAAATGATGTTATCCCCGTTCTATATATGTTGAAATCAAGTGTTTGGATAAATTCATTTAGAAGGCTTCTGCTATCGTTTTCTCCATGTCTAGCCACCAAATCAGTTCCGCACGTATAAGTTTTCTTGCGTGGATAGCTCCAGATAGCTTTTCACAATACTTTAAATTTGTATATGACATGTTTAATTAAAATTAAATTTGCAACTTGTATCATCATGAAATAGAATAGATGAATTTAATTGTAAATTGAGAACGTGGGATTTTTAAAATTTTACTTATGAAAAGAAATATCTTTACTTTAAAAGAATCGCATCACAATATTTGTTTTTCTCTTGTTGCCAATAACATGCACGGGACTCCTAAAGCAAGGGCAAAAACTTCGCTATGACATGCGGAAACGTAATTGACCTATCAGCTTTCCAAACTGACATATCTGTCGGTGAATTTATAGCTAGAGGTGACAAAAAAAATTTACTTGTTGGGATTCATTAAATTACATGCTAGATACACCCCTATGTTACTAATCTTGCTAAATTTAGATAAAGCTAATACGTTTATAGTACAAATTTAGATAATTACGAGAGATTCAAATCAATTTATTGAAAGAAACCAATAAAAAAAACCAATAAAAGTACTTGATAAGAAATCCAAATCCCATATTTTATAATTATTGCACAATTACTTAATGTAGTCACCTCTATATAAAAAGATAAGATTAATGTTTGAATCCACTTATCAACAGAGCTGGATGTACTGTGCTATTATGTTAACGTAAATCATTTCAAGAAACTAATAGCTTCTTATCTTAGTTCCAGGAGGAATCTTTGCTTATTGCTTTGCATAAAGGGTTAATCGGAGTGCGTGCATTTGTGTCGAATATTACTGCAGTCAAGCAATATATTTTTCGGTAATGCAACCCAAGCTCTATGCCCAATATATACGTATAGGGATACAGCCGTTTCATATTTCGACATTTGTTTACATCTTATTTGACTGCACAAACTTGATAATACGAAATTTCTTTAGAAAATTGCTCGCATGATAATATTTTCTTATGACAATTCATGATTTTTAAGCGAAATGCGTTGTCTGGTCTGTGTTATTACTCCTACTGCAAAGAGAATAACAGGTTTGTTAAGTGGTTGCAAGTTGCAGCAGTACGCATCCCAGAATACGTCGCGTAGCGCGATCTGAGTGCACATAGGGTTTCGCGTTATATATGTTTGTTTCCTTGAAATATTAAACGCGGCCTTGTACTCAACTCCTTTTTATTCTCTTGAGTTATTTTAGTATTTAAGAACTCGACTTGACCGTGTAAAAGAGTCTTATTTACCCATTAATATTCGTAATTGTACAGTGATTTTACGCTATATGCTAAGTAACTATAGCGAGTCACCAGCGCGGCGACATTAACTATGCCAACTTTATCACGTCTAATATTGATACATCCTTGAAGGAACAAGTTGGAACAATAAACTTTTTTCACCTGCGTGAAGCCATGTCTGAGGTATATGAAAACATGAAGCCCTACGCGTAGCTTGCTATGTTCTTCTATTCTACCTAGGCAAAGTCGGTGCAATATGCTGTCGGGCTACTTTTGGAGATACACATCCAACCAGACATTTCAAAAATTCAGTTCATTCGTATATTAACTAAAATTGAATTGGGGTTTCTTTAGTAAACAATTAAGTATATTTAATGAAAAGTTGCATTTTGATCTTTTTTGTCTTTCCGTAGCTATTTATATAAAAAGAAACAAGAGCTGTGCCTCTACGTTCGCAATTCAGATTTGTCGGAATTATTTTCTCGTATGCTAATTTCTATTCGATAAACGATTCAAATTAAGTGTATTCAATTAATATACTATTATAATTAAGTTTTTTTCATTTGATTCTTAAATAGTCCTCTGCTTAATCGCACTTTATATGCATTTGCATGTATAAAATGAAAATAATGTAAAGAAATTCACTCTTTCTCTATTTTTCTCTTTGCTTTCTTTATGTGCGTATTTGGAATGCGTCTACACTTATGGCGCTCATGTAAAGATCGTGACATTCTAGATGTTGAGTTAAACTCAATTTCTAAACCTTCTTTTGTATATCAATAAATTCAACAGATCAGTTAAGCATAGATAGTCGAACGTTGTACATTGAGAACGGCAAGTGAAAATTGAAATTCTCGAAAAATATTTCAATTCATTTTAATCTATTTTATTTATCAGAAACATGCTCAGCATATGGAGAATAATTGCCTACGTGTGGTTTACGGCAGCTTTATTACATGGTGTTGAATTGCGACCTCAGCGCACTGAAGGCGAACTTTTGACAAACGCTCAGTGCGGTTATGAGGTTAATTATTCGTTAAACTACTTCTAAAAACAAAAATAAATAAGTAACTCATTTCCATTTCTATGCAGAGTTGTCCTAAAGTTCAATCTAATATGTTGAATGTCCATTTGATACCGCATACCCATGACGACGTTGGTTGGTTGAAAACGGTTGATCAATATTATTATGGCAGTGAAACTTTGATACAAAAAGCCGGTGTTCAGTATATAATAGATTCTGTTATTCAGGAACTTTTAAGAGATCCTGAAAAGCGTTTTATATACGTAGAATCGGCCTTCTTCTTCAAGTGGTGGCGTGAACAAAACGAGGAATTGCAAGAGCAAGTTAAAATGTTGGTGAATGAAGGACGTCTGGAATTCATAGGCGGTGCGTGGAGTATGAATGATGAGGCTACCACACATTATCAAAGTATTATCGATCAATTTGCATGGGGTCTAAGGTGAGTTCGAAAACCGATTTGTATTTGGATACGCTAATAATAATTAGTTATTTTTCTTTTTATTATTCACTTCTGTAAACTCTTTTCCAAACCATAAAAATCTTATCAGTATTAGTGTAGTATATTATACACATAAACACAACGTTATAAACCACTGTACAGCCGTATAAAATTTGCATGGAAATATGCCTCCATAATGTATGCATATCACTGATCGGCATGAGAAACGGAATTCAATGCAATTGTCTCTATATAATTATCTATAGAAACGGCAGTTATCATCTTAGTACTCTCTCTAGAGCAAGAAATTCAATGTTAAGTTTCTCTGAATTAGTTAAATTCGCTAATCATAAGCAAACATCAGAATATTAAATTTATTATATCATGTTTCGATATTTCTAACCGTCCACATTTCGCATTCACTTACGTAGCCCTTCCTCCGACTTGCAAGGTATGTTTCGTACTATAAACATTGGTTCTTTAGTTTCAAATATGTTTACAAAGGAACAATAAAGCTAACAAAACAGTGGACATCAGAAAATTTGAATAAAAGTACTTTCTGGTCTACTTTTTGTATTATTTTATTCTCCATTTTAGGCGGTTAAATGACACCTTCGGTAAATGTTCGCGGCCACGCATTGGTTGGCAAATTGATCCGTTCGGTCACTCAAGGGAGATGGCTTCCATGTTTGCTCAAATGGGTTATGATGGCTTATTTTTTGGTCGGTTGGATTACCAAGACAAAAGTGAACGGTTGCTGACAAAGACACCCGAAATGATTTGGAGAGCTTCGGCTAATTTGGGTAAATGCAATATTTAATCAAGAGAAAAATTAACCTCTTAAGGTGAATCATGGCTAACTACAACTTTAAGTTCACATGATTACAAAATTTTTTGGCAAGATAAGCATTGACGAGCGATAATGATCGATCAGGTTCGCAATCGAATAGTCTGTCCGTATATTCAATCTTTGCAATCACTGCCGTCGTAGAGCTAAAACAAGATTGTAAATGTGCGATCTGCCTTGACAGCAATATAATTTTAAAGTCGAGATCAATATTAAGTCGTTTCTGTCTATTGACCTAATAACCGCTCTCACTTGAGAAGTAAGCCTTATTATTGCCAATTTAGAATGAATATAAATTTCAAATATGGTTACAATTATCGTGGGATAAGCGGATTTTGCGGATTAAACGTGCAATTAAGTAAAAATCGTAATGCTATCTTGTGAGCACGAAACTGCGGATCTGCTTTCCGCAAGGCTATTGAAAGTATTGGCACATTTTTTTTTTGGGATAAAACTATTAGCCATAAACCTGCCATGTTTGTTTTTTTTTTTTTTAAATCTGGCCTTATTCCTATCATAATCCCATTGAAATCGCAAGACAAACTTTGTCAAAAATGTAAAAAGCATTGATTTTACTTGAAATTTATTTTTTTTAACTCCCTCAATAACCGCCTGTAAAATTAGTTAGAACTAATCAATCCAAGCTCTTCACGTGTCACTGGAGAATGCTGATTTGGAGCTACAGCTGGAAGAAAATCGCTTCTAGATTGTTCTTGGATATTTAAAATATAATTTAAGACGACGGAAATAATTCGCTGAAATAGATAAAGTATTACCAGTTAATAGATTTACAGATTCATAATCGCCGAAACTTTTTGCATCTATCAAGCTACACCCGCCTGTTGCCATCACTGGTAGTTTCGTTAACACGAAATTCTCATACGTAATCTTACACGAATCTTTAAGGCTTTCTAAAAATAGTTGTGATTTAAAATTGTTCAGCGAATCAGGTCTGCCATGATTGACCAGATGAGATAATCACTCTTCTAAAATATGAACCTCCTACAATGTGGCCTATTATGATTACAACGATTCTAAATTTAGGTAAATCTTCCGATTTATTTACTGGCGCTTTATACAATCATTATCAGCCGCCTCCAGGGTTTTGTTTCGACATATTATGCGCCGATGAACCTATTATAGACGGCAAGCACAGTCCTGAAAATAATGTCAAAAGACGAGTAAGTTTTCTTGCTTGTACCTCTTTTAAATATCGAAAGCTACTTTTAAACAACGCTAAATGTTATTTAAATATATGTAATAAAACGGTTAATAACGTTGAAAAAAATATATATTTAGGTCGATGATTTCTTCAAATTTGTTCGCAAGCAGGCACAATATTATCGTACTAATCAAATCATAATAACCATGGGCGGTGATTTCACATATCAAGATGCTAACGTATACTATAAAAATTTGGATAAATTAATACGGTAAAAAAATTTTGAAAAGAGGAAACGAAATTTTGGTTAAAAGTTCTTTTAAAAATTCATTAACATATTAACATGCATGATATCACTGTCACAGTCATTGAAAACGATTTTTATTAAATTTGCTTTGCAAATTTTTAGATCAACGATTTTTTAGCTATAGTAGAGAAAATGGCTAAATCGTATCGAAGCCGTAATGTCCTGATAACAATGGGCGAAGATTTTAATTATCAGCACGCTGGTATGTGGTATAAAAATTTGGATAAACTTATTAAGTGAGTAAGAATTATAAAGACAAACAATTTTGACCAAAACTTTTAACCAAAGTTCAATATTATTCCCTTAATTTTAAAATGAATGAATTGAATAAAAATTTACTGGTTTCTCTCCAGATATGCCAATGCTCGTCAAGCCAATGGCTCCGAAATAAACCTTTTGTATTCCACTCCTTCTTGCTATTTAAAATCGTTGCATGATGCTGACATTACTTGGCCCACAAAAGATGATGATTTTTTTCCCTATGCCTCAGATCCTCACGCTTATTGGACTGGTTATTTTGCTTCGCGGCCAACTCTTAAACGTTTCGAACGAGTTGGTAATCATTTCTTGCAAGTATGTAAACAGTTAACGGCTTTGCCACCCAGTATGTATCCCGAGTGGTTGCCTCATTTAAGTTTTATGCGTGAAACAATGGGTATAATGCAGCATCATGACGCGGTTACAGGTACGGAAAAGCAAAAAGTTGCATACGATTATGCTAAGCGTTTAGAAGTCGCCTTCAGGGCTTGTGGGGCAAATACTCGCGCAGCTTTAAATATTTTAACAACCGGTGATAAACCAAAGCCTGTTGAAGGTCATAAACCAAGACCAGTAAAATTTGAGTTTAAAACCTGTGCTTTACTGAATATTAGTCTATGTGATGTTTCCGAGCAAAGTGAACACTTTGTCTTGACGCTGTACAATCCACTCTCTTCTTCACTAGCAGAGTATATTAGAGTGCCCGTGCCAGATAACAATTACCAGGTCCTTAATGATAAAGGTAAGATTTCAGATTTCTCATTCTATATCTATTTAAGAATTTTTTTTATATACAGGAGCTATTTTGGAAGCCCAGTATGTACCTATTCCACGAGGCCTCATGGATTTAGTCTACCGCCACTCAAAGACCAAATATGACATGGTTTTCTTCGCAGACGAACTACCTCCTCTTGGTTATCGTTCGTATTATATTAAAAAAACTAAGGAGCGTCCTTTAAAACCTGTACCTGATTCCCCTAATACCTCTAGCATGACAAGCGTAGGAAATGAGGTTAGTTTCGCAAAAAATGCTTTTCTTTGCTTACGAAGCATTGTATTTATAGTATATTCGTTTGAACTTTGACACGAACGGGTTTTTGTCTGCTGTAACTGTTGAAGGTATGACACGTATCATCAGTCAAGATTTCTTATATTACGAAGGGGCCGTAGGTAACAATATGGAATTCCGAAACAGATCTTCTGGTGCGTACATATTCCGCCCGCAAAATGATTCAATGAAAATTACAACTACCGATGTTGATATTACGGTCTATCGAGGATCTTTGGTCGAAGAAGTCCATCAAAAATTTAATAATTGGATTAGCCAAGTAGTACGAATCTACAGTCAGAAAAACTATGCGGAATTTGAATGGCTAGTTGGGCCTATACCGGTAGATGATGATATAGGCAAAGAGATTATTACTCGTTTTGACACTGATATTAAATCTGAAGGTATGTTTTTTACCGACTCAAACGGCCGTGAGATGATAAAACGTCTGCGTAATCATCGCGATACATGGAATCTTGAGATTTTGGAACCAGCAGCTGGCAACTACTATCCAATAACTACGAAAATAGCTTTGGAAGACGATCGTGCACGCGTAGCTATTTTAACAGATAGAGCACAAGGTGGTTCTTCCTTACGGAATGGTTCTTTAGAACTAATGGTTCATCGCCGTTTACTACATGACGACGCCTTCGGAGTAGATGAAGCCTTAAATGAAACCGCTTATGGGCACGGTCTGATAGCCCGGGGGACACATTACCTAATGGTAGGCTTTTCGCAGAAAAATGATAGTCCTACGCAAAAAGCATTGGAACGTTTTGCTCAATTGGAAGTAACTTTGCCCACTTGGAAATTCTTTAGCAAAACGAATTACACCTTTGAAGAGTGGATGACGAGTTTTAATAATAGTGTAAATATTAATAAAATTTACAAATCTTGTAAAATTTTGATTTTATTTTTTTTTTTTGGTTTTAAGTTTACTGGTCTTGGAGCATCTTTACCTAGAAATATACATCTTCTAACATTGGAACCTTGGCATAACGGTGAACTGTTAGTACGATTTGAGCACATTCTTGAAAAAGATGAAGATCCGGAATTTTCCAAATCAGTTAAATTTAATATTAAGGAAGTTCTAAGTAATTTCGAAATACAGGATGTACGTGAGACCACTTTAGATGGTAATGCTTGGTTAGATGAACATCGCCGCATGGAATTTGTTTCAGATCCAGAAAGCGTTGATTTTGTAAATTATGCTACGCTTTCTGAAGACCTTCAAAGTGCCCACTTGTTAAAAGCCCATAGGCCCTTAACAAAATCTGAATATCATAAGGAAGCATTACCGCATTTTGACTTAGGATCAAAAAGAGATCCCACACCGAGCACACATTTAAACACAATACGCAGAAATACATTGGAGCAAATGAAATTAGATGAAAAAAATTTAAAACATCCACGCGGAAAGTTCAACAACAAATATGATGTAGAATTAAATGCTATGCAGATTCGTACTTTTGTGATATATTTACGCCAAAATAATTCATTCGCTTCAGAATAAAATAAAGTGGCATAAACGGTTTATTTACTCACTTTTCTACAATTTTGTCCAATTGAATCTCTATCGAAGTTTTAAGCATCAATATTATAGGTAGACAAGCGAAGTGGTATTGTGTTACAACAGCTCCACCAGATAAATAACCACAAATTACACAATTTACTGTTCTACGCACGATTTTTTCGTATCTCTACTTCATTCTTTTATCTAAAGTATTCGATCAAAACCAGTGGAAGACACAGATGCTAGCGAGCGACAAATATGTATCCAGCACCATAGACACTTTTGAACAACAGAGTAAAATCGACGAGGCTTTACTTTTGTGTTATATCCCCATAGCAAGTGTTTTACGGCAATGAGGGATTAGTCCACCCAAAAAAACAAAGAAAAATTGTAGGTATTCTTGCGCTAAATGTTCACAGTTATAATTCTTGAGAGCAAATATCTAAATATGTGTTAATAAGATCACAAGATTATCGCACGAGAAAGACAAGAAATAGAGAAAATATTACGTCAGTATACGGAATTTTCAAGAGCTAAGCACGGCAAATATTTAAATCTTTTTGTTTGCTAAAAATTTTTTCCTTGAAAAGCATTCCCATTTACAAAGCACTCTATCGCAATTTTATCTGATATTACTGAAGAACATATGCATAATAGTTTGATTACGAATATAAAAATATTTTTGAGAATAGAATATTGCGTATTTTTAAGTAGGGGGTGATTTGGTTAAAAAAAGTAAATAAGAAAGATTCTGTTCTTCCCGAAGATAGTTCTTAAGATGAGCCTACATTGGCTGCGTTCCAATTGTTATCCCCCCTTTCCGCATTTTTGCCCCTTATTAGATGGAAAGCTTCAAGAACTATGAACTGTAATTCTTTTTTCAGAAGAAAACACAACTGTTCACTGTACGAACGATCATAAGGCGACCTCCCACATGCGCACGTTAGTGGACTGTAAATACAATAACGAATTCTTTGCATATGCAATGTTTCTTAATTGAATTTTCGTAGGTAGCGAATTGAGAATATACAAGTAAAAAAGTTATATTCAGTGGCGGCCGAATCTTGTATACCCGCCACTACGCTTTTCCCATTTGATGACCATATCGCTGGTATTGTTAAGAAAAATATAAACGCGGTGTCTGCCATATTCATTTTAGGATTAACCCATTTTATATCGTTATTTGGGAATGTACAGAATGGTTTTAAACATTGGGTCTTGTCAAAAAAGTGAAAAAAATAAAATTTACTCACTTGTAACTTTGTGCGGTCATGGCCGATTTTTTCCATTTTGCACGTAAAGAGTAGAGTGCTTCGTAAATTAAATGTGGTAAATTTGATCCTTATAACTTTTATAATTTCCGAGTAGCGAGCAAACACCCAAAAAATTAAAAAAAAAAAAAAACGGTGTTGCGTTCAGTTTATGTTTCACTGCGGGATACTGTTGGCCCATTTTCAATACCAACACAAACTGCAATGTTTCAATGTTGCAAAAACTGCCAATGTTTCTACCAAATTTGAAGCCGATGTATTCATTTTTGCGACCAGGAGAGTGCCAAATACATATAGACACACAAACGGACAGATCTGACTTAATTAATTCAGAATTTCAGGCTGATCAAGAATATGTATACTGTAAAGGATCTCTGAAGTTTCCTTTTGGCTGTTACATACATTTTTAGGAGGAAAAAAACAGTAGTGGGTTATTTTTCGATATAACCACAAAAGAAAACTTTGTCTTAAGGATTCTAGATTTTCTGGCTAATACATACTGTTTAAAGCGATTTGTATCTGCGTTTTGAGAAGCTAATTTTTGACTGCAAGAAAGCATTTTTTATGTTTTTATTTCCGTATTTCATGGTGAGTCTCACCAGGTCTTCTATTTGGAGTGAAGAACAGTGTAACAGAGTTGCAAAAAGCAATTTTGCCGATTTTATCTGTGAAGTTTAAAAAATCAAGAAGGTTAGCTGCTAACTTCATCCGTTGGAAAGATATAAAAGTACTCGTATCTTGGAATGTGCCTAAATATGTTAAAAAAAAGGTCCCTGGTATAGACATAGCTGACTTTATGTAATGCCAACGAAAGGTTAATTTACATCAGGATGCATTGTACGTCTCCGATGATGTGTAAAATACTATGATACATATATAAAATAAATATGAGTTTAATGAATAGTGGCATTCTGACGTCACTATATAGTTCCTGCGAAAGGAATGTATCTATTTCCTTTCTATACGTATGAATATGGATTGTTTAATAGAATCGTATTATTCACGAAAGGATAATAAATTTCACTCGCCACGGACTAGTTGTCTTTTAAGGCTATGCGTGATAGAATCGATTGAGTATTTAAGGAAGAAAAAAACTCCCAAATTTAGATGCGGCAATAGAAACATCCCTTAAAAGCAGCTAATTGAATGTAAAATCAAAAGCAAGCTTCGTGAAACTTGTCTTTAAAAATTCATGAATACATTGGTAAAGCACCAGCAAAAATTAATGCATTTCCTATGTTTCATGTTAATTTTCAGCGATTAAATACACATTTTTAATTAACTATTTCATATCATATCATTTGTAATGCTTAATGTAACTAACGAGTCGTGAGTAAGACTTTGTTGAAGTAGCACGCACAGTTTGTAGAGTAGATTGAAGTGTGATGTTTGCGACTGTTCAATCAGCTAAGCCGAAAGACCAAATTAAGTGGGAGAAATTGAAGGAAAAATTCAATTTCCTAAACGGCATTATAAATTATATAATTAAATATATAGAAAATTGCTCGATACATGGTCTGCACTTTCTAATTAAAGACGGTTTAACACTTTTCGAAAGGTAAATAGATCTGTTTTGTTTTTTCTTAAACTTTAGATTCCATTTATTTTTTGCTTAAACTTTAGATTATTTTGGTTAATTTTAGTAATATTGTCGCAATATTTTTGCGTATATATTGCTATGTCTTCAGTGTATATATACCAGACCAAAAATACTCATGTGGGCATAGAACGTGATTTCTACTTCTGGAATACCAGTTTACCAAGTGTAACGATATGCCCAATGAAACGTATTGATGACGAAAAATTTGACGAGTTTTGCGAGTAATGTTTAAAAAGAAACATAGAAAAGGGTATCGCATTTAAAAGAAAGATGAAACTATTTTCTTATACATTTCAGCCATAACGATATAGTACTTGATCGTAAGAAAACTCTTCGAGATTTCTTGGAACAATTGGCAAACTCGACTTATATTAATTTCAAATATTTACCCGATTATGGATCTATATATAGAACTTTGGACAAATTGAACGTGAAACCTCAGCAATATATGGAATTAATTTATAACGTTACCGCTGACATGACCAGTAATCCAATCGACATGTATCGTGCACGTTGTATTCACGATAATGCAAACATTAAGGTTCGACAAGTGCTGACGGAATACGGTTTATGTTATTTAACTAATAATTATCTCGGTCAAAAATACACATCAAGTTTTTTAATTTATGGCCAATATCCAGACATAAATCCATTCGAGGCAAAGAAACCGTTCAGAAAAATCTTGAGTGGATCATTTTTTGACAAAGATGTTTCATATACTTTTATTGGATTTCCCGAAAGTATCGACGTAAGTGTAATTTCTTGTTAAGCATATAAAGCTACCGTTGCGCCCCGTTTACATGAACAAACAAAAAAATTAATAAATAAAAATAATTTTTTTGATGACTAAAGTGTATCCCGTCACCTTACCAAGAAATTCATACATCATTGGCTTAAACTACTCTTGCATTCTTTTCTATTTTCTCTCAATATATTTTTCTGAAAAACCGATACCTGCTAACTTAATATTCACACAATTTTGAACTACCTTATCAATTTTGACTAACATATCAACAAAAATATTAGTGCTCCTAATTCCTAAGTTTTGTTTCAAACCTTGTCACAACATCTCCTAATAAATTGATCTGCACTACAATTATATGCCAAATTCTCGAAACTTATTGAAAATCATCACACGAAAGTTTTGCAAATCAAAAAAAAAAAAAAAAAAAACAGATTTGCTTCATCCAACTAAAACAAATAGCATCCATTGAGGAAAACATTCTGAAGGCTGATTTATCGCAAAAAAAGTATACACCCAGTACACATCTTTTAGATGCAAAATTGTTATCGCGATACACATTTGGTAGTAGACTCGGTGCATTCCGAAAATTTTGTATATAAACAATACTAAATTGCTTACTATATTTTCTTCAGCTCTTCGTACATAGTCCTTACGATGTAATGAAAGTGGATAGCAATTTTGGCTACGCTGAGGACCACTTAGAATTCGATCCTGTGACAATGGAAATTGTAACCGGCACAGGCTTCGATGAGTAATACCCAGCAGCAAATATAAAAGCACTTAATTCTCTTAATGAAATTTTTTTACTTTCAGAGCTTCAGTTAGACAACGTCATTGCCGTTTTCCTCACGAATCTAATTTAACTCATTTTCCCATTTACACAAAAAATATATGTTTGCAAGAATGCCGCTTAAATTTAGTTTACAAAACCTGCAAATGCATACCGCATTTTTATCCTAATCGCTGTATGTTTTCTTATGTCCGCAATCAGATAAGATTTTTTGAAATGAAACTATTCCTAAAATCGTGTACATATCTATATATAGATATAGTTCATATAAAAGCTTTCGTTTGGGATGTCACTGACAGAACTTTGTTTCGAATAACAAAACCTTTCTGTTGATTACATAATATTTCGCGCATCTCATTGGAATCGTATGCAAATGTCTATTCTTTCAATTTGTCACAAAAACATGTTCAGTTCATTTGCATCGCAATTAAAATTCTGTTTTGCTAACTTCTATGCTTTAAGAAATAAATAAACCAAAAAATTTTGCACAAAACCTTCAGTATTACTTTCGCCGCGCCGTAACGAGAGCTTTTACAATACGTCAAAAGTAGTCAAATACCGCATAGCAATAAACAAAGCGAAGGAAACGAAACGTTCTCTCTTGAAACTCTAGGCTATCATTTAAACAAAGAACGAAGCCAAATGCAATGATTTGAAATGAAAACACTATATTTGTTCCCAAATCTCTTGTTAATGAATACTTAACAAAGTTTATGAATATCATTAACGACTTGTGCCTTTTTCCCCCAACTAAACAAAATTTCATCTCTCATACTTGGATTTTGAACCCACTTCAAGTAAAGTAAATACTTTACTCTTAAATAAGAGGAAGAGAAAAAGATGGAAGCAAGCAACAATTGTTTGTTCGTCTGTCGCAAAGATTAAGCACGGACATTCCTGCTAAAAATACTTCATTCAGCGTAATATATTCTGTAATAGGAGAAGCATTTGGCAAATTAGGGAAAATACACTACACGTCCCTATAAAATGGGTTCATGTAAGACGGGTTTATATAGAAGGAAAAATTTTGACAGTGTTCGTATAGCTCGCTAAAAGAGACTAATCAACTAATATGGTAAAAGAATGAGACAGATGTGTTAGTCTTAGAAGGTCTTTACTAAAGCGATTATAGCTACGATCCGTAATCGATTAATATATTAATTTCTATAATTATTAACAGTCGGTAAACCGAAAGCAGTTTGTGATTATCGAACGCTTAAGGAATGTGTCGGGCAATATTCAGGTAGAAAACGTTAGATGTTCCTAAATAATCCATGCATTGAAGGTTTTGAAAGGAACAATCCTTTTTTCAGATCAATTTCTAAAAATATTTGTCGTAAATTCGGCGAAGGACGTTGCAAATATCAGTAATAAAAAGCTGAAGAAAGCACCCTGTTATTGTGATCAAAATTGTGAAGACTCAGTGGTAACTATACAAGCCGTGCATGTAAGTGAAATTGAAATAAATGACGTCTAAAGCGTTACTTACTCGTGTACGTCCAGGTAATGCTTTCCTCTAAGCCTTTGCTAGGAAGTATTGGTGCCCAAGTCTCGATGAAAACATGGCCACGACAGCGTTTAAAGAGAATTATTATCTTCAACTTTTCTGATTTATTGGGTAAGTGTTGCAAAAGCTGTTTATTTGGCGAAAGATCTTCTTGTATACAACTGTATACATTTTTCTGATGTATTCATTCTAGTCTACATTGGTGGAACTGCAGGTCTGTTTATGGGTTTTAGTGTTCTGGGTGCTTTGGAAGTTGTATATTTTTTTACTTTACGTCTCCTGTTTCATTTGTTAGGTTATAAATTGTAAACTTTTGGCTTTAATGAAAGCAACAATTTTTTCTTTTTATTAATGTTTTAGTAAATATATTTAATCTATTTATTTATTTATTTTTCTCATTTATTAACAGAAGCCTAAAAAGCTTACTAAAACTTGCTTATTACGACTAAAAAAGTTAAAGAACCTAAAAGAATATTATTATATACATATGCTCAGAACACACATGCTTAACTTATAATAAAAAATATTTTAACAAAATTTCTGAATTCAATAAATATTTTTTTTTTTTTAATAAATATAATCTTTTTTATATTTTTTACTTTTGTAAGTAATCATGTAAAAAGATCATTTGCTTTAATTTTGGAATGTCCTAGCAAATGATTTTTTAAAGGCTTTCATTTGTTTATTACAAAGAAATGCTGCTCAGTGAATAACAATCATAATCATTTTCAATCAATCGGGATAAATTTTAATCTTTGTGTGATTTAAAAAAGAAATATTTGTAAAAAAACGTTTACAAATAAGTAAAGTAAAGACCGCGTCATTTTTATCCCGCTAAGCCACATGAGTAACAGCAATTCTTCTGATAATAGTCGTAATTACACAATTTCGCATTCACTGCCCATTGACAATTGGCAAATCCGTCTACACAAGACGTTGAAATGTCATTTTGTAATAAACTCAAATGTGCATCTATAAAAAAATAATTATCAAAATCACTTTAAGACATTTGCAATATTTTAACAAGCCTGCACTCACCGTCACACGTGTGTGTGTTGCAACTGCGATATATGGGTTCCCGAAGCGAATAGCGGCATTTCGGCGATTCTTTTAATATATTTTCCTGCTCATCGTATTCCAAACACTTTACTGTACGTTTTTGTGTACCTCCGTCGCAAGTTTTGGTACACTATTCAAAAAAGAAAAAAAGGCAATAAATACTTGCTTAATAAAGGAAAGGCATATTAATTAATTTTACTTCCGTCCATTCGGAATAATGCCATCGAGCACCGCAATATTCAACTTCTTGATGTGAACATTTTTCCAAAGCTTGCGGTTTTAAATCCATGCCGCAATCCTCGTTATCGACAATTAACTGATTTTGTATGCATAACACTTGCCTGCTGCGTGTTAGATTGAAACAGTTTCCATTACATGGTGACCACGGGCCTGAAAACCATTCACCCGTTTCACACGTTCTTTCAGTATTGCATCCACGCGTAATTTCTGGGGTTGTTCGATAATCACATCGATCTGTATTCGGTTTTGAACGATCGCAAAAGATTGTACGATATTCAACACCAATGCCACACTCAGCTGAACAATATTGATTCCAGTCGGACATTAACCAAGATCCGGCTTTCTCACGATTTTGCTTCACTTGAGTGTGTGAGATATTTGAACTAAGTCCATGTAAACGATATCGAGCATGGCTGCGGCGACGACTTTTAGGACAATCGCAAGGCTTTTTAACCAACGGTTTCTCTTCCATGCAAGCCGAATTATCAACATGAATAACTATGCCAGAAGCTAACTCTTGCACACAGCTGATCTCACGTTCACGATAACCCTCATTCTGATGGCATCGACATTCGCTCCACTCATCAAGACGCCAAAAAGCTGGGCATGGTTGCGTATTACAGCGTAAAAGGTTCTCATTTATTAGCGGCTTTTGAGAATGCGCGCAACGTCTCTGAGAATAGTACCTTAAAGGATTCTCCCGTACACACTTAACTATAGGAGTTTGTGTACCGCCACCGCAAGATCTGGTGCAAGTGCTAAAACCCACCACTTTCCAATGAAAAAGTCGCCGACGTCGTGATGTGGTTAATGAGGACTCTTCCTTTCCAGATTTGAGAAAGCCATCACTTTCCAATGAAATTTCATTTTCTTCTGATTCGGAAGTAATCGGTAATAAATATTCATATTTTATGCCCGGATTGGTGGATTTACTAAAAATCTATAAAGTACAAAAAAATTAAAATTGACATTTAGCACACTTACCGGTTTTCACACTCACCATCAATTCTAATGATTCTCTTATAGGGCCCGTGCAAGTTATCCACTCCGTTACACCCTCAGTATGTTGCAAGCCATCTATACGATGGTAGTCAAATGCAGCACCCACTGCTTCATACGAACCGCTATTGGAAGGATTGCCATCCCCATTGAATACGTATTTTTGATCTTCCGTAGTTTCCGTACGCAGCACTATGGAGAAACGTTAAGATTTTAATAAAAAATGGATGAATCAATTTTTCAAGATAGAATATACGAACCCAAAAGGTTTATGCTATTCTTCAATTCTGTTATTGAAATATTCGAAGCTCCAGCTGGTACCGTAGTAACATGAACATAAGCTTCATCTGGTAGAGGATTTCGAGTGAATATACCGGTAATAGGGCGACATAACAGGCCTCCACAACCAACCGCACCACTATTGACGGATAATCCACTTATAATACCGCTAGTGTGTATGGCCTAACATGTGTGGAAATAAAAACTACGTTTATTTATTTATAATATTGTTTTCTTCTTAGCGTCATGTAAACCCTCATTCGGCCCTAAGTTCTTGTTCATTTGCTTAAATTAACCTTCAACGAGGCTTCTCTCGACTACATTGTTTATTTATAGTACCAGTCGGATTAACAGCTCTAATCTCGCCGTCCCTATCACCATGTCGTAATCGTCTCTTGTTACCACCATTTACTTTACTTACCCTAAAGATATCTATAATCTATTAATCCTGATGATTTTTATTCATTGCTATTATGGATGCCTTATATGAGTGAAACTAACAAAATACTAGCGTCTGCTGCAATTAATGCTCTTTCCATCATAATAACGAATAAAGTGTATGTTTATAAAGGGCTTTTTTCACTTACCAGCAATGACAAGAAAATCTTATTAAACATTTTTATTTATGTTTTCATCGGAACAGAAATGTTCTTTCATTAGCATTTTTCTTGATGTGAAGTTTTGTTTTATGTCGCTCTTTATTTAAATGTTGTTTTCGATAGTAGTTCAAATTTTTTAAAACATTTGTTTGAAAATGTAACATTGATCAATATGTCAAATGTTCTTTTTTTCATTATGTTTCGCGTTTAATGTAATCCACTGAACATATTTTTACCATTCATTGCCATAGGCAGTGTTAATTTATTGCATTAATAATGGAGTTTTTAATTGGACAAGTGTAGCAATTCCAAAAAAAAACCGATTAAAGCTCAATTCAATATTTTCACACAACGATCCTTTAATATAGTCAATCATACAAGTACTTTAATATGGGTTGCTATTATTTACTGTTACTATTTAAAGCTTGGAAAACATTTTTTTTTTAAATTTTTAAACAAATGTACAGAACTGCTGCAATAAAAGTAAAAATACCTGATAAATTCTCAGCGGAGATATTAATTAGCAAACATTTCTCTTGCTATTCGCTCTCTCAAGACGTTTCTAATACTAACTTACTTACTGGATTAACGCGTGAAGTATAGCTGCTTAATAACTGCCAGCAAAAATGTTAGCAGAGAGAAGGGTAAAGGAGGAAATAAAACGAACTTAGTATTTAAGATGGATACACCCTTCAAAAGAAGAAAAAGAAGGAAATATCAAGTAGGATATGATAGTATGAGAAAGCTGTGAACAATTCTCGAGAGTGCAGCAGCATTACAAAACATGAAAGTGATGCTGTAATTTCGCTTACGCTGCACGAATTGCTACTCTGCTCTCAAGTTCGTAGTTGCTTCTACCGCTCCTCAAATTTAGTCTAAATTGTAAGCTATTGATGCAATGCCGCACATAAAAAGTATGCCACGGCATATTTGTAACACTCTGTTTAGACTGTGATCTCTGAGATGTCTGTGAAGAAGACAGTAAGTCCGTTTTGAATATCACCTTTTTTCCAACTTCGAATAAGCCGTCATCGATACAGACTTTTTATGATCTTCCTTCCTTCTTCAATTTTGTAAGCGATGAGTTGCAGCAAATTAAGTTTCCACTTGATGTGTATCCTATCAAATTACTTTCTTATTTATGGAGTATTAATGAATAAAGCTTTCACTCCAGGGTTTCTTAAAAATTTCGAATAGTTTTCACTGGAGACACTGTTTTTTAATAGGCAAAATTTGATATCACTGCTGTAAGCTATCCCTAAATCAAATTTTTTACAATGATCCAACACTTCCCAAAATCGGTGATGAATGCAGCTTTCATAATTGTTTTAGATGTAAGTGTATTATGAAAGTCAGTGATCGCGCGCATGAGATACGTTACTCTTTGAATATAATTTTCTACATGATGATCTTTTTTATGGACCTTTTTCGTAAGACAACGCCTCTTACTTTGAAATTTGTTTTTTTTAAACACATATCTCCTCTGAGGAGCTTTCAAATGTTTTCATATGCATAAAGAAAAACCATCTCCTTTAGATAAATCTCTAGAAACACAAAACAAATAAAGCATTTCAACTTTACTCTTTACCTTGTCTGATATAACGAAGTAAATGCGGCTAAAAGAAAAAGAAGAAATTACACAATGCTTATGACTTAGTTGCCAAAGATGAAATGCTTTTACGATAAACCTTTGGCAACACAACACTACTTTAACCTTTTCTAAGTTCATGTGCAATAAAACAAACCAAGTAAGCTGACCATTCACACGCTGGCAAAGCGAAGAAAAATTTAAAACTCACATGTTTAGTTTAATTTCTTCTGCTTTTTACTTCTCCGTTGAACAAGATCCGATTAAACTTTCATCTGTTACTCATAACGGCCTTCTAAACATATTACATTATCTTATAGTTACAAGATCACTGACGTTTAACATAACAGATAAGATGACATTGTATCAAAAAACCGACGAAAGAGAACGATCATGGCTTACAAATAACGTAATCAGCAATAACATTTCATATATACACATATTATAAAAACCAACAACTTATCCTAAAACAAAGTATTAGGTAGACCACAAACAAATAGGTGATAATAGCTGACAATTTACTTCTAATAAATATATAAATTATACACCAAGTCACCAATTTGAAGCACTCAGCGGCACACAACTGCTTCGCGCCTATCTAAACGTCAAAACGTAATATTTACATTCATACGCTATTTATACGTTGGCACCCAAGCAATACGTGCAGTCTATATGTAGTGAGAAAAACAGAATATGCGGTACTAGTTAGCCGCCATGTCAAGTAATCACATAGGTATACCTGCCTCTTGATATGTGAGTAAATTTTATATTAGTGTGGGGAAAAAGAAATCCATTATTTTTTCGGTAGATGGCTGCACTGATAGATTTCTCGTAAAGTATCGATCAAACAATTTCAGATTTATGCTCCTTGGAAAGGTGACATTTTGCTGTTTTTTATTTGGTGCATTCAGTTGTGAGTTAGAGCAACAAGAGAAAATTCGGTACATTTTATAGTTTTTCTTTGACAAAGGCGAAAATGCAAGTCAGGCGGCTAAAATTGTGAATGGTGTTTATGGTTCCGATACTGTAACAGCCAATTATGTGCAATTTGGGTTGCGGAGATTCCGTTCAGGAATTTTTGATGTTAAAGATGCACCTCGCACAGGTAGGCCGGTCGTCGAAAATGTCGATAAAATCGGAGAAATGATCGAAGTTGACCGGCATGTTAACAGTCGTAACATCGCCCAGGAGCTAAAAATCGACCATAAAACAGCTTTAAACCATTTACACAAAGCTGGATTCAAAAAGAAGCTCGATGTTTGGGTGCCAATTAACAGAAAAAAACATGATGGATCGAATTTCCATCTGCGAAGCTTTGGCCAAACGGAATGAGATAGACCCATTTCTTAAACGGATGGTGACTGGAGATGAGAAATCGATCACATACGATAACCCTGTGCGAAAACGATCGTGGTCAAAGAGCGGTGAAGCACCTCAAACGGCCAGGAAGGTTTTGCTATGCATTTGGTGGGATTGGAAGGGGATTATTTATTATGAGTTGCTTCCATATGGCCAAACGCTAAATTCTGATCTCTACTGTCAACAACTGGACCGTTTGAAGATAGCGATTGACCAGAAACGGCCAGAATTGGCCAACAGGAGAGGTGTCGTGTTCCACCAGGACAACGCTAGGCCACACACATCTACAGTGACTCGCCAGAAACTTCGGGAGCTTGGTTGGGAAGTTTCAATGCATCCGCCATACAGTACGGACTTGGCACCAAGCGATTATCATCTTTTTCTTGCATTGCAAAATTTCTTTAATGATAAAAAATTGGAATCTAGGGAGGATTGTGAAAATCGACTACTAGAGTTTTTTGCAAATAGAGACCAGGACTTCTATGAGAGAGGTATTTTGAAGTTACCTTTAAAATGGCAACAAATCATACAACAAAACGGTGCATATTTGACCCAAATCGGACAATCCGAAGCATGTTAAATAAAGTCCTGAAATTCATATAAAAATAATGGATTTCTTTTTCCCCAAACTAGTATTAATCTATGCACGCGCTTTTTTATGAGGTCATAACAAGAATTCTTATATCTGCTCGTTTGCACAACAGCCTTTCCTAAATTGAGTTAATTCAAAGGTAAATGGGATATCTTGTTACCTTGGGATATAATGAGTGCTTTATTTATATCCTGATTGCCTCATAGTTATTTGAATCTTGGTCACTTGGCACATTAATATCGCTCTATAGCATTACTCGAAGTATATCACTGCCTAAAATTCATATTGATTCACTGATAAATCCTTTCGGTAAGCACTTAATTGTTTATTAAAGCACTTGTTAAGGGGCTTGCTGAGGGCATAAATGAGGCATTTCGCTATAAAGTAAATACGGCAGTATTTCCAAACTCCGAAACTCAACATTTAAATCTTCCTCAGAAATAAAAGCGAATGTAGCTATGAAGACTTGTGAATATTATCATAATTTTTCATAGAAATTTCTAGAATTTCATCCTCAGATAACATGAAAGCGAGTAAGAAATTTATATTCATTTTGATATGAATCTCTGAAATCCATTATCTCAAAAACTACATACACAAAAACTACTATGATTGGTTATGTTTGGACAGTGTTAGAAGATGTTTTTGCATATATCTTAAATATTCCAAATTGATCATATCTCGACTACAAGTTAATTTTTTTTCGTGTAGTGATATTAACTTGTGTTAAATTTTCTCATTTTTAAACTTAACAAGAAAAACATGTAAAATTTCTAACAACAAACTACAAGAAAATTAAAAGATGAGCAAATACTTTAATTTCGGAATACTAGGCCGATGAAGCGAGAGTCTATTTCCTTTTTGTGTGGTCTGATGGGAAAGAAGGCAAAAGTCTTGAAAAACAACTAAACGCTTTGTAGGGAATGCCGACCACAAAATACCCTGCACCAAATATTTGTTTATGTCATAAGATATCAAAAATTATATCTTGCGTCTATGTAAAAGCAAATTTTTCATTTGAGTCATTATATGGAGAGAGGCACGA